ACACACACACACACACACACACATATATATATATATATATATATATATATATATATATACACACACATCCTCATGGCATGTGAATACACACACACACCAAAAATGTCAAAGTTGAAAAATAATCACACAAACAATAAAGAAAAGGATATGTTAAAAGGAGACGATGATGATGGTGCTTTATCTGTGTGCTCTGCTGCCTAGGTGACACTTAATGAAACTTTAATATGTGGGAGGATGGCAGAGCATCCATGTGTCTGTGGTCCTTTAATGTGCTACTGGTACCTGAATGGTAAGGTCCTGCCACCCTCAGCTCCCAGAAATTAAACGGCTTCTAATGGGAGCTGTAACAATGAATACCTTCTGTTTGCCCTTGGGAAAATTCAAATGTCCCTTTCCCGATCCTTCCTTCTAAGAAAGATATCCACAGGCACCATCCTTGTTTCCCCTAGAGGAGTCTAGTCTCAAGCATCAAAATGTGTGAGATATATAGAAGGTGTTTCATTTTCAGCTATGAGTTAGGTGGTATTTGAGAATGCTGTTTTCAGCTGCTCTCTGGTCATTGCAGAGGATGTAATAAGTGTTCATTTACAGTACCTTGGAAGAGGCCATGCTTGAAAGGTCTCAGGAAGCCCAAGGCAGCTTCCTCCTGTAATCAGCTCACTTTTCACGCTGTAGTTTAGGGACATTGAATGTATTACTACCTCTCTTTCAGGGTCACAGTTCTCAAGCCCAGTAGAATGTAAACTCAAAGTAGCTATGGGGCATATTAGCATCTGGGGAAGGCACTTGACTCCTTGACAGGATTTCCCACTTTCTGAAGGTCTACAGAAAAATATCCCTGTTCTCAAGGCTGTACACAAATCAGCAGAGAGGAGTTTGTGAAAGTGCATTGCAAACCTTATAATAGGGAGGGTTTTTTAAAAATTGAATCTCATTTACAAGCAACTGCTTGCCTTACCTAGAGACTCATCTGAGAGACTCAACTCCCACATTAATCATGGGAAAACCAAGAAATTTTCCACCAACAACCACTAAGATCCTTTTTATACATAGAACATCTGAAATAAGTAATATCTAAGTGACAGCAGAAAGAATGCAACAAATATTCAATTAATTAATGACATGTACGCCTTTGGGTATACTGTTGAGTAGATACAAGCCAGACACCACCAGGAGAAGAGGGATGAATGGAGGAGACAAGGGCTTGCCCAGAGAAGGCTGCTGTGTGCCAAAGGAGGCATGAAGTGTACTTGGAGTAGACTCTAGTCACCAGGGACAACACATTCCTCTCTTGAGCTACCTCAGTGGTTCATTTCCTCTATTCTGATATTATCATATATTTTATTAAAGGAAAAGATGCGAATCAGAGAAACCAATATATGAAATAATGTCTATGAACGTGCCTAACATACAGTATGCTGCAGTTTTAGGGCTATAGTCCCCTCCTTATATGTTACCCCAGAAACATTTCCCTAAGGGCTAAAACCTGGGTAGACTTTCAATTCCATGCTTGTTTATTTGTCTCACCAGGAAAAAAGATCATATGTCTCTGGAATCAGGAACAAACCATCTAAGTTTTAGATGCTGATAGAATAATTAGTTCTGATATTCAAGCAAGGTATCACTTCCGTATGTAAAAAAAAAAAGTTTAAATTCAAAATGAGCCTTCTAGAATTTGAACTGCATTGTGATTAAACTTTTAAACTCTTGTTTATCTAAGGTTTCTGATTTCTCTCCTGCCAGCCCTTTAGCAGAATAGTTAAGGCATTACTTCCTGGCTGTGTGGTCTTGGCTAAACTATTTAACTTATCTGGGTCTCAGTTTTCCGGTCTGTAAGAATGTGAGAGGGTGACCCGGGGAGGTCAGTCAGCAAAGTGTTCTTCATGCAAGCATGATCAGTTTCAGCCCCACCACCCATGTAAAAAGCCTCCTTGTAATTTTAGTGCTGGGATCCTACAAATGGGAGGGTCACTAGGACTTGCTAGCAAGCAAGCCTGGACTAATAGGATAGCCCTGGGTCCCAGGGACAGACTCTCAAAAAACAAGGTGGATAGCATCTGAGGAGCAATCTGAGGCTGACCTCTGGCCTCCACATGCATGAGCACATATATGTACACATTAATGCATAGACATACACAGAGAGAAGGGGGCAGAGAGAAAGGGGGACAGAGACAGAGTCACAGAGAGAGAGACAGAAGAAAGAATGTGTGTGAAGTGCCTGCACACAGCTTATACCTGATTATCAATGGAGCCATGGATCAGCTGTGCTCATAGCTGCGGATTCTAAGCTACAAACTAAACTTAAATTTCACTGTGTTAGAGAGGCCTAAAACTCTTGGCAATAGTAAAAACACGAAAGAGGAGTGAGCCACAGCTTTTTGTGCCCTGTACAGTACAACCCAGTCCAATGTAGAGTTCCTCTCAAAAACTAATGGAAAGAACTGTTGCCTTGAAACTCCCAAAGAAACACTTGAATTTCTAAGTACTGATATATAAAAGGTAATTAAAGCCATGGGGTATCCTGAGCTGGAAGTATCACATATGCGTGTGAGGGCTAGAAAGACTCACGATATACCAATAGACTGTACATATAATTAAGACACTGCAACTGGGGATTGGGGTGGGTTCTTTTTATGTCCTTGCTCTCAGAACTCTTTGTGCACCAAGTTCCCTCTTCATCATCATCATCATCAGAATATGGTTCTTAATTTATCATTTAATCAACTCCAAATATAGGTTCTTATCATTATGTACCCATGGCTGGTTCTTTCTAAAATCTTCTTGTGATGTCCTACCTAGATGTATTTAGCCAATTTGTCAATTGAAGGAATTAATCTATCTTCAAACTTTTGCTGTTGTTATGAATAGTCAGTTTATGTACTCAACTCTGAATACATTGATCTGTCTGAATAACAATGACTAGCAAAGACATTGTTCTGATAGATGTTGCCTTTGGTCAAGTTCCTTTTTAATTAGGAGGTAAGAAATAGCATCCCTTACAAGATTCAAGAGTGCCTTTCTCCTACACCACCATCAACAAAGAGTTTTGAGCTTTGCCAATCATGTGCGTGACTAGTTGGGATTTTAAGGATTTAGTGAGTGCAAGTTGCTGTGCTAGTCATGTGTCTTCAGGTTCTCATGATCAATAGGGATGATGAGACAGGCAATTAGGTATAAGCTACTGTATCTAGAATAAGAAGCGGCTCCAGGTTTGAAAAGTGGGTCTTGGGTCTCCAAGAGAAGGGAGTTGGAATGGAAACAAACGGAATAACACACTTGAGAAAGACAAACTCCTTGGAAAGGAGCCCATCTTCCCGGTCAAACTTTCCAAAGTCATGGAGATGACTGTGCAGAGATAATGACAAATGGAAACAGAACTGGAAAGAAAGTTGACTCAGAACCTAGGCTGTAAATGTGGGTGGTGCCTGGAAACATGTGAATGGGAAGGACACAGTACTGGGGTGAGAACTAGATCTCTTACTCCTGCCCAGTGTGGTGGTACATGCTTTTATTCCAGCACTCAGAACTCAGAAACAGGTGAATCTTTGTGAGTTCAAGGCCAGTATGGTCTACACAGCCAACTCCAGGCCAGCCAGAGCTATATAATGAGAGCCTGTCTAAAATGGTAAAAATAGACTCTGTTTCTCAGGTTTGAGGAATGCCAACCTTGGAGTGTCCTCAGGAATTCTTTAGTATTCATCCTTTTAAATTTCCCATATAGAGTCGTTAAGAACTGACCTTAAGTTCTTGATACCACAGAGCTGTAATGCTATATAGAGTTCAGGGTTGCCTTGCCCAAAGACAATGAACTTCATATCTCCAAGCTTGTGAGTGAAGGGAGCTGACAACCTCCACCAGATCCCTTATCACAAACATTGAATGAAGTGATGACCCTAAAGAGTTCACTCAACACATAACTGTGCTCAGCAAAAGGCAAGTACCCTTATCTCACACAACCATTGCTAGTCCCCACTGTACTGGCAACCACAGGAGGCTCTGAGCAGCCACATGCCTTTCCCAAGTTGGAGAGTAAAAACTAATGACAGCAATACCTACAGATGTCAATTCTGAGAACAGATTGTCCAGGACAGTCTTTGAAATATTCTTAGTACATCATGTCATTTTCTCTACTAGCACTAGAGGCAAGCATAGAGAAACAGAACACAAATGAGGATTTCACTAACCCCCTTCTGCCACATTCATACGGAAAAATCAATATTTTCATGAAGTATTATACAACGAGAATATTATGTGTCCTTGATATTTGGCAGCAGTAACATTTACTCTGCTAAGTCAGTGCCTTGGGCTCATGGGAAGTACAGCAGCCCACATCAGACCCCAGGACTGCAGGGTCAGTGTGGTGTCAATTGTGAGACACATTCAGATTTGTGTCAACTCTAAGACACAGAATATTGCTGGCCAGCTAACAAGTGGCAGCTCTAAGGTCCATGGACCCATCTTAGGAAGTCTCTTGGTTTTTAAAAACAGAGCATTCTTGTGTCTTGTTCTCACCCTCTACTTGCTTACCTTGGGATTCGCTAGTTCTGGCATTTGTGAAGGAAGCCACACTCTGACCTTGAAATACCATTTCTCTCTGCAGTCTTCCCGCAGCTGGTGAAGGAGCTCAATGCAGGCCTCCATGTCACGATTCTCTTCCTCCTCTTCCTGGCCTTGGCCCTTGCTCTGGTCAGCATGGGCTTTGCAATTCTCAACATCATTCAGGTCCCCTACAGAGCAGTCAATGGCCCTGGTGGCATCTGCCTTTGGAATGTCCTTGCAGGTAAGAAGTCCACAAAAAAGAGAAACTCTGTCCATACCATCAGGCTGGACTCCCAAGTGTTAACCAGGGAAACTGGGAGTTCCTTTTGGGGGTTTTTGGTCTTGTTAATGAAAGAATTTAAAAACAGACTCAAGAGGAAGCTAAGGGGCATTTTTATTGGGATTTGGAAGAAGAAAAAAATAAGAGCAGACAAGCTGTAAATCTTGGCAGCTGCCAGGAGGGAGATGGAGAAGGGAAAGTCCATGACATCAAGAAAGCAGGCAGCTTCAGCCATGGAGGTCGGTAAGCTGTGTGGTCAAAGGGGGACCGTCAGAGAATACCATGAGAAAGCCCAAGGTGTCCTGACAAGAATGCTCAGGCCTGTGGCTGGGGCTGGTATCCAAACAGTGAAAAGAGGAAAAGTTACATTTTCAGAAGGGTGGGCAGGCTGCATAAGTAACTACACAAAAGAAAGAGCTTTGGGGAAAGGTAAGAGAATGATTTAATTAAAAAGATGATTACTTCTCCCATCCCCTTAGCAGATTCTCACAGAAGTCAGATTTCCTAAGGGACATGGAAGGGTAAACATCTAGTCAGGTCATTGACAGGCCCAGCTACATAACTCCTTGACAGAAATGGCACTAACATGTAATGTTTGGGGGTGATTTAGAATGGCGGATCTCCACCCAGGGCCAGAGGTAGAACTAAAATTCTATTCTTTTAATCAAGAAAAAGTAGCTTTCCCTTGATGGGTCTGAACCAGGCACCTCAGCCCATATGGCCATTTAGATCCTAGACACAGTCTTCCCTTTCTAGTGCTACAAGAGAAACAGAAGGCAGGAATGCAAAGACAACCAGGAGGGAGGAAGTCCAAAACTGACTATAAGGGAAAGGTCCGCCTTAATGGCCTCCAAGGCCATCAAGCCCTGAAACCTAAGTAATTGGGTGTAAAGTATGAAGAAATTAAAATATTTACGCTCTACCCCTTCCCATGCACTTCTCCAGGTCCAAAGCCTTGGCGGAAATGAATGTTTTCTTTGCTGAAAGTAGCAGTATATCAGTATGTGCTCCTATTGATCAGCTATTAATGTATTAATAATAATTCACTAATAATTTACCTTTAATTGTGTACTAAATAAATCATCTACAATGAAAATTTTAAAAGCCTATGAAAGCAGAACTGTCTCAGAAAACCCATATTGCATAGTCAAGGCTCCACTGTGACAATAACCTCTCACCTCCTTTGCTTTGTGTAAGACCATCATAAAGTGTAAACATGGGTGCTGGTTTGGTAACATATATTATAGTGCATCAGTCATTCTGTGTCTGTCTTTGCGGACACAAGTCACTAGGATTGCAGGTGTCTTGTATCTGTGCGGACTCTCGTTGTAAACAGTATTCAATTCTACTTACATAAATATTTATTTATTATAAATAAATATTTATTTATTTATTTATTTATTTATTTCCATATATGTCCTTCCTCAGATACTCCCTAATTCAGCAGTTCTCAAACAGTGGGTTGAAATCCCTCTAGGGGTTTGCATTTCAGGTATCTTGCATATCATGACAGTAGCAAAAATTACAATTATGAAGTAGCAACAAAATAAGTTTATGGTTGGGGGCTATCCCAGCATGAGGAACTGTATTAAAGGGCCACAGCATTAGGAAGGTCGAGAACCACTGCCCTAATTCCACTGATGAGATCATAACAAAGAGGTGATCAGAGGAAACATATTGTCAAAAGGACTAGATATGTAAATAGACTTTTACATTTTTAGATTCTTTTACTGAAGAATCCCATATAGGGATTCAAAATTTTCTTCAATTGCTAGGGAGATAAATGGGGTTTGGAATTCCAGAGTTTCCTTGCTTATCGAAAGAAAATGGAAGGAAGAGAATACGGAGAAACAGAGGATACAAGCTTTGCTGCAGCCGTTCATTTATCTAGAGTCCCAGAAGCAAGGCCATCCTTCAAAGAAGTAGGCAGTCTCAAGAATAAAATAATGTACATGTTCTTAAAGTTATGCCTTTATGCCTTTATATGATATTTAACAAAACAGGAAAATGTTCACAGAAGGGGAAAAGGAACCAAATTTTAATTTTAATTGAGAGAACTTTAAATTGTATTTAAAAAAGAATGAAATGTAAAGAAATATACTAATGTGTACAAAGTATGCCTAGCCTTCAGGGTGAAACTTAGTTTAAATTTCTCCTGCTTATAGTTGTCTCTGTTGTTCAAGTTTTCTTTTGTGACTATGTAACAATCTTTTAAAAACACAAAAGATCTATCTTTTTATAATGTTATTTTTTAAAGATAAGGTCTGTATTTCACCATCACTGACAATTCATCACCATACTCCTGTTTCAGTCTCCCAAATGTTAACATTAAAGGTGTGAGTCTAAACACACAGCTAAGAATGGGTTTCTGTTTTGTTGGTTTTTTTTTTTTTTTTTCAAGACAGGATCTCACCACCTGGATGGCCTGGAACTCTCTATATAGACCAGGCTACTCTCAAATTCACAGAGATCTACCTCTCTCTGCCTCCCAAGTACTGGGATACCACTTTTGCCAGGCCTCTGTTTTTTCCCTGTCTTTGCATAGGTCAATTGTCCTCAGACTCTCGATCCTCCTGTCTTAGCATCACAAGCCTTGATGCGCACTACCAGACTCAATCCAACATGTCTTTTTTGATTATCAATTTAAATAAAAATGGTGCAGGAGACCTATGCAACAACTTCAAAGTTTTCCTCAGTTGCTAGGGAGATAAATGGAATTCCCGAGTTTCCTTGCTACTTCCCACCTTCCGTAGAGCAGTGCAGCCGGAGTGTGAACCTCACCCTGCAGAATAGGATCTTATCTCTTCCTACACTGCATTCACCATCTCCACAGAGGTACAGGAGCCTAGAGAGTGGTCTTCTAATGGGGATACTGCTGGACGAGAGGGGTGAGAGACACGCAGATTCAAGTCCAATGGTCATTATTATTCTTATTCTTGTTCCAGAAAACTCTCACTCTAGCCTTTCACTCTGTGTAGACTATCCACTGCTTTTAAATGTGAATTCAAATTTGTGATGCTCTATTGCTTCTTCTAACCCAAAAGATTTTCTTTCTCACGGCATAGAAGTGCCACCTCGGGAGAGGCCTCACAACTGCAAAGATGGGTAGTAAATAAAGGCGCTGTGTTTGGTTTCAGGTGGAGTCGTGGCACTAGCCATCAGCAGCTTCATGGCTGCGGTGAAATTTCACGACCTGACCGAAAGGATCGCCAACTTCCAGGAGAGGCTCTTTCAGTTTGTAGTGGTGGAAGAACAGTATGAAGAATCATTTTGGATCTGCGTGGCAAGCGCCTCAGCCCACGCAGCAAACTTGGTTGTGGTGGCAATCAGTCAAATTCCCCTCCCAGAAATCAAGACTAAAATGGAAGAGGCCACAGTTACCCCCGAGGACATCTTATACTGATTACTGACTCCTTGTGACGTCAATGGGGGACAGGCTTGCCTTTTCCAGCATTCTCAATCCACAATGTCCCCATTCTTAGTAGTAAAAAGAAGGCTATGGAAAGACTAAAGGGGTGATTGATCCAGAAAGGAAAAAAAACTCTCTTGATGACCAGGGCACTTGTGCTTCTTTTGGATGCCCTTGGAGATGAACTGGAGGCTCCTGAACTTGTTAGCTGAGTCTGACACTGGACAATTCTCTTACTAATCCTCAGTTCCCTCATCTGTCAAAAGTGGGTAAATAACAACTTTACATGCTCTGTTGTGAGGTTCCAACGGTGCTGGCAGTGCTGCAAGCACAGTTCTCTGCAAGTAAGGTTATATATACTCCATTAAGATTCGATAGAACCTTGCTCTGTTCACTATAGTATTGGAGGTGTGCAAAGAAAATCATGACGATCATGTCTCTGTCCTTGAGAAGTAATAATGTATTACATGACACAGAAATCAAGTATCTAAGAATGTAAATAAGTGTGGGTTTGTGTGCGGCCACCATGTGCTGGACTGGCTTATTTGCATGGCTTTATTTTTTCCCCGGGTCTGGTAAAGCTGATCAAGTCCAGGCTTTGCCTATACTAAGCAAGCACTCTGGGAATAGCCAGAAGCATTATTCCAAGACTTTCCCACCTATTAACTGGCTAGATCCTCTTGACATTCCCAAGTATCCAGTGCCATTCTAGCCAACTTGACAGATGGGAAAACCAAGGTACAGACACATTATATAATGTGGGTGAAATGGGGGATGAAATCTAGAAAGCCCAGTACCAGAATCTATATTACTTTTAGATAATACAAACTTTTACTTCAATTATGATAGAAGTTATGCAAAGACAGAAGAAAATACAGAAGATACATTACTAGATTAAATATCCATACTAACAAAGCAAAGCAAAATATCTTTTACAATTCCCCACCTCTAGACACGTGTGACAGGCAAGATGTGGTCAACAGCGAACAGTCTATGCCCACTCTTTGTAGGTCATGGTCTCTTGTTCATGTGGTCCATCCAGCAAAATTAGTTAAACCAGGACCAGACCAGTGATGGCCATTTCTAGAGGTCATTCAGCTTCACAGAACCCATTTCTGAGCTTCTAAGTTTTCATAATTCTAATGTCTTCCCTTTGTTCCTCCTAGGGTCAGTAGTTCCTTCCAACAACTGCCACCTTCAGGAAATCCCCTATACTTCTAAACCCTTGCTGCTGATCTACAGTTTGGTATACAATCGAGGCAATGTAAGAATGTAAAAAAGCCCAGCATAGAGGGACAAGAAGGAAGGACGTCTTCTGGATGGAGTGTTGTATTGAAGTTTCTCTAAGCTAACATTTGATCTGAACTGTGAAAGATGAGCACACTTTTTCCAGCGGTGAGGGACGCAAGGTTGGTAAAGGATCCCAACATGAACCAGTAATGAGGGAACACACAAGAATGAAGTTCCAGGGAGGCCAGGCATGAGAATGTTGAGTGGGATGAGAATGTGGCCTGCATGGACCTGTTTTGGGTGACATTTTCTAAGCAGCTTGTGTTAATCTAATGTGTTAACTCATATAGGCCATAACAGTTAAAATTTTAGATGCTTCTTTGAAGACACTTTTTGATAAAGTTAACATTTGCATCTGACCTTTTACAAGTTCAAGAGCCTCATTCAACCAATTGAATTCCCTAATATTAAAGAACCCAACCTCACCTAAGGAAGAGGGAATTCTCACTTTGGACTGAATCTCCAAGTCTCCATCCAGCCAACAGTGTTACCAGGTGAAAGGTTCTTCTCAGTTCTTGTCTTCTTCAACGAAAGGATTCAAGAAAGAGGTACAGACAATTTAAGCAGGCATTCATTTAGCAAAGCACAGTGACACGGATACTCCAAACAGAATGAGGTATGCGGTCCCAAAGGAGGGAGCCATCCAATGGGTCAAACACTGAAGATTTTTCAGGAGGTTTATAAATACTTATGAAGTGGATGTTACATTCATGGGGGTATGATGACCTCTTTTCTCTCCCAAATCATGGGAGACCAAACCTTCTTTTGTAGGGCAATTCTTCCCATGGTAGTCTTGAAAGTTGCAAGGAGGATCATAATGCAAATGATATAATAATGAAGTCAGAATCTTTTGAGGATGCAGACTCCCTCATTAGTGTGCGGCCCCCCACACACACACATGCACACACACACACACACACACACATGCACACACACACACACACACATCAATGGAGAAAGTTATTTATATAGAACAAAGAACATAAAGTGGTTTATTTAACCCCCAACTGGAGTTCTTACTATCAGGAGACAGCTACCAAGATCTGTGCTGCTTCCTTGGTTCCGTTACGTATAACTCCCAGCCTGCCCAGGGACAAACTCCCAAGATTCAGCTGTTATTTCCTTGGATCCCTCACATTTAGCTCCTGATCTATCCAGTTTCACCAGCAAACCCCGCAGAACACAGACACATCATCCTCCAGAATCATATGAACCCACTCCTAATAATCAATCACTCAAGTCCTCTCTCAGATATCCAAATCTCTTCTGTGGAGGGTCAAACTGCCTATATAAAATGGCATGATGTTTGCATATAACCTCATATATTTGCATATACTTTAAATTTTCCACAGGTAACTTAGAATACTTACTAAATGTGACTGCCCTGTAAACATTTGTCATGCTGTGTTCTTTAGGGAATGAAGATGAAGGGAAAACGTGTCTGGTTCCAGTACAGACACAATCATGGTAGATTCAAATTCATTTATGATCTAGGGCTGGCTAAATGTATTATTGCTGAACTGTACATATAGAGGTTTGACTACAAACACACACACACACACACACACACTATTGGCTTTATTTTTCTGGAGAAGCTTTACTGTTAACTATATTCATTCATCTTTTTTCAATAATTCCACCTAGCTAGAATGACTATATTTGTAATATCCTATCTTGGGCTAGGCAAAGGTTAACTATCTCCCAAACTACCTACCACTTTAACACACACACACACACACACACACACACACACACACACTTTACCTGATGACTTCAGGAACTCTGGATGTGGTTGTTGCTTTGTTTTATTATTTATAGTTTGGTTGTTCTTGTTTCCAAATGATTTTATTCTTATTAGCAAGTATTAGTTATATGTAATGGACCCTGTTATGATATTTTCACATTTATATGATGCATTTCAATTATACTCACTCCGGTTACACTCTCTTACGCTCCTTCCATTGACTCCCTTCCTCTACCCAACTAATATTACAAATGTTTTCACATGATTTCTTTTGTCTTATGATGACACGGTGAGTTACACTAGGATTGCTAATAAAAGAGTGGGTGAGGAATTGTTTGCAGGAGTTTGGGAGCCTTACCAGTGACTATGCCACTGAAGCAAACTTCTTTCCCTTCCTCAACATTCATTAACTGTGGATAAATCCTCAGGGAGCATGGAGGCTTCCTGAGCTCCTCCCCCTCTGTAACAGGATGTTGGCAGGTCCAGTCTGACACAGGCCTTGTGTAGTGATCACACCACCCATTCCCAGCCGTCCATTCTTAGCCATCCATCCCACACCACCCTTCACCCTTCCTCGAACTCTTACAGTTTTTCTTCCCCTTTGTGCTGGTTTATTTTTGTTTGTTGTTTTGTTTTATCAACTTGATATAAACCAGGGTCATCTGGGAAGAAACAACTGAGAAAATGCTTTTGTTAGATCAGCTTGTAGACAGGTCTGTGAGACATTTTTTTGTAATTAAAGACTAACATAGGAGGGTTCAGCTGACTGTGAGTGGTGGAGTCCCTTCCCTAGGCTGGTGATCCTGGGTTGTATTATAAAACAAGCCGAGTGAGCCATGCAAACCAGTAAACAGAATCCCTCCATGATCTCTGTTCCAGTTCCTGTCTCCCAGTTCCTGCCTTGAGTTCCTCCCTGCCTTCCCTTCATGATGGACTGTAAGGTGAAAAAACCCTTTTCTTCCGAAGTTGTTTTTGGTCATGATGTGTATCATAGCCATATAAAACAAACAAGGATTCCCTTGTGTTGTGAGCATCCCTGTGTCTTGAGACATAGGGTACAAGTGATAAAATGTCAGCCATAAGCTGTCATTTATTTATTCTCATCACATTGGCCAATCATGAGACTCTGCAGCCACTGATGCTCATTACATAGTGAACCTTGTCTGATCAAAGCTGACAGCGTCAATAATCTTTCAGTATAAACATGGATATTTAGAAAGTAATTTGATGGCCACAGCATGTCTATTTATATTAGTAGTTCCCCCACTAGGACTTTTGATATCACAAGCCATGGTCTTTTGAGTAGGTTAGCAGTACCAGGTGGAGATTCCCTCCAGTAAAGTGAACCTCAAATTCAGTACTGCATGGTTGGTTATCCCTGTAAACACACACTTGTCACTGTTATACCAGTGAGAGCATTTTGACCAGTCTCTCGGTAGTGTTGTATGCTGGGTGAGATAATAGCTCACTCACTGCAACTTCAAAGCACCTTCCAGCAATACGGTAGTACATTAGTCACTTTTCTACTCCTGTGATAAAACAAAGCAAAAAGAGAAAATTAGAAACAGCACAAGACTTTGAAACCTCAAAGGCCGCCCTAGTAAAGTACTTGCTCTAGCTAGGCCACATCTCCTACACATCCCCAAACACTGCTACCAACTGGGAGCTCAGTATTCAAACATTTGAGCCTATGGGGGGACAATCTCAGTCAAACCATCACAGGTAGCTATCTGTGAAGTAGGAAGCTTTCAATACAATTTCAGCTTGATTTGTCTATCTCCTAAAAACATACCATATGATGTCTTTAGCAGTAGGGTCTTATCAGACTTCAGGAAGATTTCATAGTGTCTTCTCTGTTCTAAATGCTTTTGATTCTTCTCTACCCCTCCGACCCTATCCCAAACCAAATCTCAGTATTATCTCTGTATAAATAGGTGGTACATGGTTAGATGAGAATCTGACAGGAAAGGGATCAACAGAAAGCAATGGGCAGCCATGCTGAGTTGAAAACAAGAGGAAATGTTATATTGAATGCAAAAAAATCTGTTGATCAGGGCTTTAAAAAACTCAACATAAACACAGAAGACTCTGAAAACAGTTTATGTGGTAAGTGTTTGAGGGTCTTGGAACATACAATCATTCAACAAGCTT